ACACAAAGCAGCACAGCACCAGACTCTGAACGTGCAGCGCTCATGAAATCATAGCCTTTTGAAGTTTAATCGTCACATTCAGCCATATCGCAATTCTGGTCTTTCCGTCCCCAAATTTAAGACCTCTTGAAATCATAATTAAGACTTTCTTGTACAATTTAAGACTTTTTAAGGCCTTAAATTTGATACAACTAAATTTAAGACTTTTTAAGACTTTTTTAAGACCCGCGGAAACCCTGAATGAAGCTCATAAAGAAATGGTTCACTGGGTCTGGCATGAAAGAACTTGACTGGCCTGTTGTGTTGATAATCAACAAAACCAGTGATGAAATTGTTAGTTGACATCCATGACAATGAAGAAGTTAAAAAAAGGGGAAAAAAACTCTCTTTAAAAAACTATATATGATAAGGTAATATTATAACTTGTAGCCTATCTCCAAAAAATGACACAAAAGAACAAATGCACCTTAACTTATACAGATAAGTCAGAATGTGTCACATTGTGAATTCGCTTTTTCCATAAAAACACTCTAAAAACAAGTTTTCAAACACTGCTGTTAAATGTTAATACTTGTTTAAACTAATGTATAATTTGTTGAAATAATTGATTGTTAACATTAATGAAGGCAAGAAGGTAAATGTACATGACACTAATTAAAACATACAGTTGACAAAAGTATGAAAAGAAAAAAGAAAACCCTCTAGATTTTAACAATATTTGGTTATTTGTTTATTTATATTTTGCACTCTCTGTTGAGCTAAAATGTTACTTTTGTTGACTAAAATGTCTTTTTAGTCAGTAAAAAAATAAAATTGATTAAAATTAAAGAATACAACATGACAATAGTATACCTAAAGTAAACGTTTTCATCATAAGACAAAAATAAAAATATTTTAAAAAGTGTAAAATAAAAACATCGGTGGCCTTCACAACGACCAAACCTGAATTCCTACTGAAGACCTTTGGGATGAATTGGATCTCCTGCTCAACATCAGCACCTCGCTGAGGCTACCACACCTGAATGGGAGCAGATACCCACAGCCCTGTTCCAACATCTAGCAGAAAGTCTTCCGAAAAGAGTGGAACATGTTATAGCAACAACGTAAATGGATTGCAATGAAACGTCAGTCTATAAGCTACAGTCCAAAACACACACACACACACACACACACACACACAATTTAAAGTCTACAGTTTTGCAGCGAGTGGAAAAATGAACATCTACAGTAACAAATCAGTCCAACACAAGGACAGTCACACAGTTGCTTCCATCCATTACCCTGCTTCCAAATGACACAGTGAGCTCCATATCTGCTATTTGGGTCAGAGAGAGAGAGAGAGCTCAGCATTCCCTGCTCACAGAACAGAGCGCTTCTGTGTCTTCTCAATTCTGCGATCCACTAGGTTTGGAATGGCCATACTAGGATAGCATATAAATGTGGCCCATTCTTTCAGACTATGTGTGTGTGCGTGCGTGTGTGTGTGTGTGTGTGTGTGTGTGTGTGTGTGGTAACTGCTGCTCTAGCTTCGACCTCTCCTCCCATCAGATGTTCGGCACATCAGTGAACCAGCGATTACTTGTCTTTGATATACGGTGATAGGTTTATGTTCTACTTTGTGTGTAAGTGTGTGTGCTGCAAGAGGACAGAGAAGGATGCTGGGTGCCGGAGTGATTCTTTGATAATCTAATTTTCGTGCTTTATGACGTCAAAGCATTTTCAAATACACGAAGAAAAAAAATGAGGGAAGACCGAGCAGTGTTGTATCACCATTTTAACAAAATGTACATTGTCTGCATGGGGTGAAATCCCTACCATACATGAACAAACATGTAACAGAAAACATGTATGCTTCTTTGTGCAAATATAAAGGATTTATAAGAAGAAGAAAAAACAGAGTTAAATGAAAAATACAAATTTCACATCTGGATTCTGAATTGGATTTGTGATCATTCTAATGAACACTAGATGATATATGTGATATGATATACAGTATGTATATGGTATCCATATATATAGTATCAATAGCCTACATTACAAAAAAAATATATATGAAAAACATTATTTTAGATTGATCAGCTTATGCATTTCTATATTTGATTCCAATTCTATTTGCTGTTTTGAATTTGAATTAAAATGTTGGGGTGGGTGATGGGATGGCATATACTGTAAATGAATCAGAAAGAGTATATTTAACCACAATAAATTCCTGGAAAGAATTTAAAAAGTCCATGTTTCTAACTCAGTGAGGCTGGTACTCTTTGCACATGACATTAATTTACACAGTTTACTTTGTCGATTTCTAAACTAGTCTAAGTTGTATGAAAATAAATGTGGGTATATTACATCAATGTTTAAGATATAATAATAATAAAATAAAAATAAAAAAATAAAAAAAGTTAAACCAAATGTGTGAAAACAGTGCTCTGGAATTGGATTGAATTTGTACAGACATAGATATGAATCTGTCCTGGCCAAAAAGGAAAGACAATTTTAAAGCATCTTTACGCTTAGTATTAAAATGGGTCAATATGCACGTTTAATATCCCGACACACACACAATCATGCACGCTACAGCACCATCCGCGCGTGCGCCCATTATGCCCCAATTGAAACGCGCGCGGATGCAGCGCCTGTCGCTCTGCATTTCGGAAAAGGCTCCTGAACAGGTTGCAGCACCACACAGTTTAAACAGCAAAAAGCGCTCCTATTATTTCCCCATATCCCAACAACATTTTATGGACTTTCCAAATGGAAACCCTGCTTACTATACAACAGCCTAACAAACAGTCAGAGGAGAAAGAGTTGAATCTATAATATATTTTCCACAGAAGTGCCTTTACCTGGAAATGAGCCGCAGGCAGAAATCAGATGTCTGTATATTGGAGCTCTGTGGGTATTTCCTCGTTTTCTCAAGCGTTGCTCAGCGCAATTCCATCAGCCTGAGCTCGGAATAAACCAAAAGGTTCTCCGTTGTCCGAGAACAGCAGACAATGTTTCACGGTTTCTCCCGACAACACCCAGTCATAAGACGGATTCAGATGAAACGACTTCAAAAGTGAAGAATTGCTCACGCGCGCAGCTCGATCTACATGAAGTCTAGTTGGATTTGTCCGTTGAAAAGCTTGGTTGGAAACGACCGCCGGCTTCTCCCATTATAGCGCATATGGATGGAAAACGAAGCAACAAGCACGAATTCACTTCTATGACCTGTTTTTCCCCTCTATGAGTCGAATCGACACTCTCTTTCCGTTTTTGAGGTGATTTATTTCGGGTTTCCGGGAACAAACGCCGGCGTAACGTGCTGACTTTATCAGTGAAGTCTCGTGTTTAATCTATCGGCATCTCGAGCGTCTGATTCCAGCTACTGAGGGCGGTCGTGGTGCTCACCGGCTCCGCTGTCGTTTCCCCGTGATTCCGGGAGCCTTTGCGATGGGAGAGATGCTGTGAGGTTTTTGATTGCCCATCTCTCTCTCTCTCTCTCTCTCTCTCTCATGCGCATTCACTCGCTCTGTGACGCTCTGTATCCAAGCTGCTCTGTCGCTGTGACAACGCGCGCATTCCACGCGCCGGCAGGCCTCTCAGCATCCCTGCATCCCTGCGTGATACAGCTCTGTTGGACACGGCACTAACAGACCCCGGCGTATAACGGCCGTAGTGCTGCCAGAAAGCCAAGGCTGAATTTTATACGATATGATACGTTTGATTTCTCTCCCCTTCCTCGCGCACGAGGTCATCCTCAGTCCTGCATCAGAATGACGTCAGGGCATATTAAAGTGGCAGAAGCCCCTCTTGTTCCCCATCACACGATCTCAACCGCGCTGGATGATGGGGGATCTTCTTATGTATCCATGTTGTGCGAAGGGGGATGGAGCTAGACGCGCATTTTTGGTACCCAAAAGATTGCACTCGTCATTCTCAGGAATACGGTCCCTAAAAAGTCAGGAATTCAAAATAAATAACCATATGTAACCATAAAATATTGTATTATAATGGCATAATATATATTAGTAAATAGACAAAGATTAGGCTATACGTTTTATAAAAAAGAAAAAGCAATGTGTTACACTGTTTCTAGACCTTTTTTTGTATAATAATAATATCACTGCAAATATAGGCTATTGTCATAATTTTTTCAGTGCTGTAATATACGGTCCCTAAAAAGTCAGGAATTCAAAATAAATAACCATATGTAACCATAAAATATTGTATTATAATGGCATAATATATATTAGTAAATAGACAAAGATTAGGCTATACGTTTTATAAAAAAGAAAAAGCAATGTGTTACACTGTTTCTAGACCTTTTTTGTATAATAATAATATCACTGCAAATATAGGCTATTGTCATAATTTTTTCAGTGCTGTAAAATTTTACCATTTTTTAAAACCACATATTTTCTCAGAAAATACACTGAAAAAAATATTGACTTAGAAACAAATTTCACAACTAATTACAAAGAAACAGCAAGTAACACATTGAATTAAAGGTGAAAATTTGAAGTTGAAAGACTCAAAAGCATTTTCTTGTAAAAAAGTACTGTAATAATCTTTGTTTTATTTACATGCATTTACATTTATTTACATTTACATTTAGTCATTTTGCCGACGCTTTTATCCAATGTAGATTCGTAGTAGTGAGTGGAAGTAGGCGAGTGCTGAGCCTGTGGCTGTTCTGTATGCAAGCATCAATGTCTTGGACTTGATGCGAGCCTCAACCGGCAGCCAGTGCAAGGAGATAAAGAGAGGTGTAACATGGGCTCTTTTGGGCTCGTTGAAGACCAGTTGTACCGCTGCATTCTGAATCATTTGTAGAGGTTTGATTGTGCTTGATGGAAGTCCAGCCAGAAGAGCATTGCAGTAGTCCAGCCTAGAGATGACAAGGGCCTGGACAAGAACATGCCTATGAAGTGAAATGTATTTCAATAAAAGCAAAACTTGGGTACAATACTAAGTGTATAATACTAATACTAATTCTATAATCCATTAAAATGTAATAGTGATGAATGAGGACATGCAAACTGGTTAATATTATGATTAAGAATAAACCATTGAAATAATGCACATTTTCTTTAAAAAAAAAAAAATCACACCAGTCAAATAATGTCAGTAAATTCAGTGATAATTATATCAGGTCTCATGGCTCATGGGGACACAAATGGCACCTGACAACGACCTGCCTACAGGACTGTCAGATGTTTGGTTACATTTACAAAACAGAAAGGAAACACAATCCAATACTTAATCATTAAATTTATGCAAAGTTAAAATTAACTCAGTAGACTGTAATTGTAAACTAAACGACATGCAATTATTTCACAATCATCCATCACTTAAGATCAGTGTATTATAATGAGAAAGAAGCAGTTTGATAAATAATGATCTAATAACTATAATCTTTGATTCTGCTCCAGTTGCAAAACTGCAGTACTATTATCTCTGCACTCATGAAACAATGAAATTTAGAGACAGCAATAAGCAAAATCTCAGCACTCTTGTGGGAATATCTATTTTCTAATTCTGCTCTACAGAATGATGTGATGAGCGTCACCATGGGCGTCAGTGAGACCCAGCTGAACCACATCCACTTAGATACACAGAAATAGATCACATTCTAACTGGTCTCCAGACAACATGGAGGAACTTCAGGAGATCTTAAACTCATGCAGACCGGTCTCACCTTAATTTGAACTGAAGCTGAAGGCAGCAGGTGTGTCTAAATCTGTTAAAGCAGCGGAAACATCTGCTCTGCACAGAAGAGGGATTCATTCCTCCTGCCTCTCAGCAGGAGGGAGACACTTACTGGCCTGCCTTGCCACAGTATCCCACCTTACAAGATCATACACACTAGAAAACAAGAGGCACTTCCCCAAATGTTCCACAGACAATTATTTATCTACAGTGTGGGAGCCAGAGTCAGCATGCGCTGTAAGAAAAATTCTGTTGTTTTTACAAAACAAAACTGGCAGCTGTGGTTCAAAGAATAATTGTGTAAAAATACAGTACAAATGCTAAGAACTTTACAGAGTAGCCTGTAAATTTTACAGTATAAAACTGTAAAACAAAACTCATAACTTGCATAACCATTTCTGCTGCTTTGTACCTTTAACATATGCATGATATCCAACATAACACAGGTGGTAAAAAGAAAAGCACATAATGAATCAAAATTCCTCACAAGCAATAAATTATATATGACACTAAAATAATGCAGTAAACATTAGGTAAACTATACATAAAATGTAACATGAAAATCTAAAAACGATCAAATGTAATGAGGTAATTCTGGGAATGTCAATTATTATTTTATTCATCATATATAGTAAATAAACTTACTATTAACCAATTAACAGTTTTTTACCATAGTATTTTTAGAGTGTAACGGGGCGAACGAGATGAGAGACGTGCGGATCCATCTGCAAAGCTTTATTCTTAAAGATAGTCAAAACAGGCAAGGGTCGGACAATGGCAAACAGGTATTTAGAGGGCAAGAGAGAAGAGTGATCCAATAAACAGGCGTAGGTCGATCAACGGCGAACATAATCCAAAGGATGAGGCAGGCGAGTAATCCACAGACAGATATTAATCCAGGCGAGGTGCGAACAGAATCCAAACAACAAGACGAGAGAGAAATCCAAGACAGGCAGGTTATCAGGAACAGACAATCAGGCAAAACTAGACGTTACGAAACAGGACTAGAATTAGGAACTAGACTAAACTCAGACAGGATACTGGCTCCCTAAAGTGCTACCACTAGGAGAGTGATAAACGCGGACAATATTCGGCGATTAGAGAAGGATTTGAGTGGTTGTTATATAGTGTGTGTGTGATTGGCTGCAGGTGAGTCCAATCAGTGCAATGGAGCATGGGAAATGTAGTCCAGGGTGACGTGCAACAGTTTGTGTGGTGTGAGAGTCAATGTAATCAGAAGGAGACCTCTGGTGGCGAGCAGGCGGAAGACCACGAACTGGATTCGTGACATAGAGTCTTTCATAATTAGAATTACAATCATTTTTACAGTGTGGCTTTACTGAAACGACTGTATAAAAGTATAATACTGACAAGGTATTTAAAGTGTTTACAGCACTTGTGGCATAAAGTTGATTAGAACAAAAATAATTTTCACCTTTTCTTTAAAATAAAAAAAATATATAGAGATCACACACACTACTCAAATTTGCCTGAGGAAGGCCAATGGACTGAAACATTGCTCATTAAAATTTCTGTTATGATGCAAACATGAGTAGTGTGCAAGATCTATATCTGTATGGATCTAGATTTCATCATCTATGATATATTTTTTTCACATATATTTTTTAGGCTTTAAAAAAAACATTTAAACAGTGAAAAGTTATATTCTGTGTACAACTTTGTTTACCCTAAAACAACTGTAAAAAAATGCTTTACAGCTCGAACAATAAACATATTAATAAAGAAATTATTGTCTTCTGACAAAATTACGAGCTCTACATTTCTGCTTCTAAATCCTCCAAAAAATCATCCCCATTTACCTTCATTGTAAATTTACCCTAATCTTCAGCCTCATTTTTTTTTAAAGGAAACGAAAAAAAAAACCTGAACATTAACTTCCAAAGCTCTTACATCCACAAATGACTATATTTGGAGAAATCTTTTTTTTTTTTTTTTCAGAAGCTTGATTTGTTCCAGAATAACTTGGAGAAATGGCATTTTAACAGAGCTAAAAAACAAACAAACAAAAAAAAACATCTGTCTCTTCCGTTCCCTTTTTTGGTCACATTTCTATAATGACTGATATGGCGTTTTAAAGAAGTATCTTTTAACAGTCATGCTAGCAGATGATCAGTGATGAAGACAAAGAAAAACATGGAAGACAAGGGATGAGAAAAAGGGAGGACGGTGTTAGATGGATGTAAGGGGGTGAACAGAAAGGAGCAATTAGGTTGGGGAGGGGGAGGTGGACTATGATTGACGACACTACTCAAGATGGTGACAATCAAGATACTCTCCGAGACAGAAACAAAGCTGCCTGATGTCCCTGGTACATATTACCTTTATTTCACATGTACACTGCACTGAACCAAAGACAGAGAGTTCAGAGCGGAGGACGCAGGCAGTTCTCAGTGGATAAGAATCAGCCATCAAAGGTAATAATCCACACCAGAAAGACTAACATATGTGCAGAGCTAGAGTTGATGTAGCCACATGACCTCTTTGATATTCACAAAACACAAACATCGCACACACATACACATAGTGTTTGCCCGTTGGGGGTCATCTACAACAGGAGAGGGAACCCCTGGGGATTTGCACATACTATAAAGAAATATTATGCCATGCTCTTTCTCTAGCTCTAATTTATGAGGGACGTTTGATCTGTTTCATTCTCAGTAAGTGACCAGTGAGAAGAATCTTTGAAGTCTCTTATAAGATCCTCTCCTGCTGTCAACTCCCCAGAGGCTGAGGGGGCTTTGTTTCACAAAGATGCTTCAAGCATGCATGCACACATTTTTACAGATTGCACACTCTCAACAATTCATCCACCCTCATGCTCACATTGTAATCTAACAGCATTTTTTGTATACAATCATCATTGCTCTTATACTGTACAATGGTAATGTAATAAGCTAAATTGAATTTATAGACTCGGTGGGCAGGGTCTTTTGGATGCTT